TGTCTTTGTCTCGATCTCTGTCGCTCCCCCCTTCCCTCTCTGTTTCTCGTCTCTATCTCTCCTTTCTCTCTCTGTCTCTTTCCTCTCTGTTTCTTTGTTTCTGTCTGTCTATCTGCCTCTGTCTCTCTGTCTTTCCCTTCCTCTAACTTTCCTCTCTCTGCATCTTTCTGTCTGTCTCTCGAATGCGCCGAGCACATTCACACACACACACACACACACACACACACACACACACACACACACACACACACACACACACACTTGACTCTGGTGTGCCTCCAAAATTTTTCTACCTTCTTCTGGATCTTCAAGATTCAGGGCTGAGCTTCAAGAAATGACAGAGGGAAAAGATCCATCTGGCAAATCCACCCTGAGGATCAGGTCCCAGTCTGACCTGGCTTCCTCCCCGGGCCTGGCCCAGAGACTCCAGTATTTACCGAGGAATGTACTCGAGCCTGTTTTCTTAAGCAATTTTCAAAATTTTGGACAAATGGAGAGAAGAGGCCAAGACTATAACGGAGAATTGGACTGTCCAGTGTTCACATCTGCTAATCATCTTGGTCATTATAACTGGCTGTGAGACCTCGGGCCTGTCTATTCATTTCTCTGAGAGTCAATTTCCTCATCATGCCAACTTCGAGACCTACCGGGTCCCTGACGTTTCTCAAATCCTAGTGATTTGGAGGACCGGAAAGAGGGGCCTTTCCCCTGAGGTTTGTGCCTCCTCCCCTCCTCTCCCCCGCCCTTTCTGGAAGGGAACAGAATGGAACCCGGAGCTATAGCGCGCTATGCCCCTCAGATTGACTGGAGCTTAATTCTTTCAACTTCAGTAGCAAATTTCACCCAGCCGCTAGACTTCCCTAAGGGGTAGCTTTTCAGCCAAATGGTTTCCTATTGGGAGCAAACACAGGCCAAAAACCCAGACCAGAGCTCCTCTGTCCCGGGGGCTTTTGCAGGGACCCTTCCACTTCTGTTACTTTTCCCCCCAGCGTTCAAAGTGCAACGCCCTGTGGTCAAAACAGCTGGAGATTCTGGAACATGTGGGAATGCCTCCTCTGTCCAGGAGAAATGGAATTGCCCGAAAACTGCCTGGCTGGGACCTCAGCTGCCCGCCCCACCCCGGCTGGTTCCTCAGCCCCGGGGTTCTCTGGCCTCGTTGGTTACTGCAGGCGTACGACCCTTTGACCGATTCTGTTCAGTCACCAAAGGGCTGCACTTGAGGACCTAGAGAGCCACATGTGACTTCAAGGCGGCAGGTTCCCCACCCCTGAGTTTTGTCCTGAAGTTGACAGTCAGAAGCGTCTCAGACCCTTGGACACTTAGCAGAAGGGATAATAAATATGTAACGAATTTCCTTGGTGCTTTTAGAGGTGTACTCATTACAGCCTTGGGACTGAGGTAGTTCGAGTATTTTATGGACAAGGGAAATAAGGCTCAGACAGAGAGGTAGAGGGACTTGCCAGATTCATACAGCTAATAACTGTCAGAGCTGGGATTCAAACCCATCGCCTCCACTCCTCACCAACGTAACAGCCAAAAGAGCTTTTCCCTTGGAATCAGGAGGCCTGGGGTTGAATCCTAGCTACTTCTCCTGTCCCCTAATTATCTAGGCTCCGCTACCTCTGACTGCCAGGAAGCCTGGGAAACGGCTCTGCTCTCCAGAGGAAATCTAAAGCCCGGAGCTCATTCAGAGGCTGGATGTAGAGGGTTTAGACCCTAAGTCACCCTGAGTCATCGAATTGGAGCTGGGAAAAAAACCCCAAACCTTAGAAATCATCCAGCTCTTTTTTTTTTTAACAGAGGAGAAAACTGAGGCCCAGAAGGGCGTGGAAGTGATGGGATGGGGGAGGAGAGAGGGGCGCAGGAGTATAGGAGCCTGCAGAAAGGCGAAGCGACTGGCTAGTGGCCTGGTACACTTTACTCCTCTACCCGATCAGCTTTCAATTTTTCCGAAACTCCCATACTCTCCCATTGGATCTGTCGAACAGCCCTCTGAGACAGGAAGGATGCAATGGAGGGTGGGAGAAACTTTCCTAAAGTTAATCGGCTGATTAGGAGCAGAGCCAGAACTGAAATCCAGGTGCCCCCCTCCCCAACCAATTTCGGGTCTCTTTATACGTAGTGCTTCCTACAGCATCCTACCAGAGCTCCAGAGCTGGAAGAGAGCTCGGACGTCATCTAGTCCAAAGCCCTGATTTTACGGATTAGGAAACTGAGTTTCAGAAAGATGGAATGATTTACCCAAGGACACACAGGTAGTGAACACAAAGCCAGAGTTTGATCTCAGGTCCTCTGACTCTGAATCCGACTCTCTACCACAATCATTCAGGGAGTTGTGAGGAGGGTTTGTCGTCTTTTTGTTTCTTTGGGATCATTTGTTTTGATGGGAAGTGAGTTTTGGTAGGGAGTGGGATAAGAAGGCCATAACTGAGTTAATATTTACCCTGAGTTTAAATTATTCACCGAGAGGGTTGAATAAGTAGAATTAGATGAAGAGGGAAAGCGAGGCTGGCTACTTGGGGAAGTGACCGTGGCCACGTATCTTGCAGACAGATCGGTCCCGGCGGCTTTCTGTCACTGAGGTAGGAAGAGGGTATGTGGCCTTGTGGGTGCAGAGAGAAAAAAAAAAAGGACAAAGCACTCTAGAGAAACCGGAGCGGCCCTCTCGGGCTCTCCTCCACAAGGCGGGCTGCGCGCCTCTTACTCACTTGTCATCCCCGCCGGCTCCGTGGTCACCTCGAGGATGGTATCACAGCAGCTCCCCAGGGCCTCGAACTCTTCTTTGGTCGTGCTCCGGGGCCAGCAGCTACCAGCACCTGGAGGATCGTGACTGGAGGCTGCGGCCCGGGGACTTTGGTGTGGGTCCTGTGTCCCAGGAGACAGCTGGGATTCCTGCGCCCTGCGTGCATTGAGGCCGAAGAATACTGCACAGTTGGACTGCGGGCAGCGCTGCTCCTGTTCCGGACGCAGGATGTCTCTGACTGAGAAGGGCGTTGATGTTACGGGGCTTGATAGCATCCTGGCTGCAGAGCGTGGAAGAAGCCACGGCCCAGCCCACAGCTGCCCCAGGGTCTGTGCTTGGCAAGAGTAGAGCACTGCGGCTCAGGGCACGCCTGTCACCTCCAGCTCGGCTGGAGGCACCCAGTGGCTCGACTTCTCCAGTACAGCCCCGGACGCGTCCCCATCGGCTTAGGGAGACCAGGGGCTGGGAATGGGGAGGCTGCCAGCCCCATTGGCTCCCCCTGAAACCACGTGAATCTAAGCTTTACCTTCCTGCCTGAAGCCATCCAGCTTCCCCTCCCCTTTCTAGCTCTGACAATCTCTATCACCTCATCTCTGTCCTTTTCCATCCTTAACCCTCCTGACCGCCCCCCCGCCCCCATAGGGAATACCGTATTAACCTTTGAAACGCTTGGGCCGTCGTCAGGCCTGTTCTCAAAACTGGGAATGTGATGGCATGTGAAAGAACTTATCTGCATAAATACGACACGAGCAGTAAGTGATCTGGGACGTTGGAGTAGGTGTAAACCTATTAGCGTTAGCCTGTTCTGCTGGGCCTCCAGAAAGGGAACGAGAGAAGGGCTGAGGTTGAAGAAAGGGGGGTTCTGAATTGGGTTCTATCAGTGCAGTCAGTTCTGTTTGTGTCCATCTCAGCTTTCGCTCACCTCTCTGTGTTCCGCTTTATTGGGGGGTGGGGCGCGGAAAAACGAGGCACGGGGTTGAGGAATGAACTAGCACTAAGATTCTAGGGACCCTGGCTTCCACGTCGGTTCTCTCCTCAAATAAAGGAAGAGCAATTTGCAAGGAATCCCGTGCCAGGGAAGCTGAGGCTGGCTCAGGATCCCGGAGGACCCTGCTCCTCTCTGCTGAAAGGGGAGAAGGTATGGAGGCAGCGACCTCTCCCAGTAAACCCTCGTGGAGCGGGGCTGGTCTTTGAAGAGGCATCTACCGGGTGTTGGAAAGAGAGTCCAAAAGGCAGAGATGGTAGGCTGTCTCTAAGAGATTGCGAAGTCCAACTACAACCATTTACCCGGGACCCCGGCTTGACTAGAAAAAAATCGCATCCCTGAGGTGTCTTTTGGATCGGGGAGCAATGGCTGGAGACTGGGGGGAAACAGCTGGGGAAACGAACTGATCTTCTTTCAACTCCACGATTTCGGGCTAACTCTATTCTCTATTCACCAGGGGAGAGCCCTACCTCAGGGTGAGTCTACCTACCTCAGGGTGAGTCTCAGCTCCAAATGTGCTGTGACCCGTCCCTGCAACAATCTCCGCCAGTGGTCAGTGTGGGTCCAGGAGAGGAGCTCACTACGTTGGGGTGGGAGGAGGGCAGCCCATCTGGGTACCTGGAGGCGGCACCTAGTTTCCGTTTCGACGGCTGCCTCCTGAACTCCTTCAGACCCTTTCTTGGTTTCCCTCGTCTCCTGCCTTTCTCTCCTCTTTCTCTCTTAATTTTTCTTGTCTAGTCGGATACTCCCTATGAGACACATGAACCTGATTTCTTTCTCCCTATTTCTAACACCTCCGTCCCAACTAACTACCTCGATTTTATGAGCTTTTATTTATTTAGTAAAGTTAGGCTGTATCAATGTATTTTCGTGGCGCTTCCCTTGAGAGAATAGAAGCGACTCTCTTTGCTATTTCTTTGTATCCCCCAGAACTTAGCCCAGTGTCGGGAGCATAGTAGGCGCTCAATAAATGCTTGTAAATGAGTTATTTTAACCCCTCCGCTGATCCCTCGTCGTTGACTTTAGCACAGGGTGCTCCAGGGGTTCCCGGGCACACCCCAATATCCTGAAAAGTGCTATTTTGTGTCCACTTTCGAGTTGGTGTCTTTCAAGCATGGATCTATTTAATGTAAAATGTTTTCGTTTCTTTAATGGGTCGAAATGTCCTTGCGTATTCAATAAACCGAACAAAATTCCCTGCGGTTTTGCAATGTGATGCCTGTCTTTTGTTCCAGTGTTCCCTCCGCAGAATTCGAAGCCTCCCTTCTGCTGCTTCTCCCCACCCCACCCCAGGCATTAGGAAACCTTGAGGTGAATTGCCCCGAACAACCGCAGTGACAGAAACAGTGACGGCCATTTACTACTTGCTGGCCAGTCTTCAGAATACTCCAGTTACAGCCAAACTCCTGTTAAGATGGGACACAGCCACTGGCTGCCAATTCAGACTCCCTGGAAACCTTGACTCAGGTATTATTTCTTGTTATACACTTATGTACTATGCTTGTATAAGGGAGAGAGAAAGAGAGAGAGAGAGAGAGAGAGAGAGAGAGAGAGAGAGAGAGAGAGACAGAGAGACAGAGAGAAACAGAGACAGAGAGACAGAGAGACAGAGAGAGAGACACAGACAGACAAAGACAGACAGAGAAACAGAGGGACAGAAAAAGACAGAGACAGAGAAGAGACAGAGAAGAGATACATACACAGAGAAGAGATGGTGGGGGGGAGAGAGACAGAGAGACAGAAAGAGAAAAGATGTGATTTCATAGAGCCTCAAAATGCTCTCAGGTAGTCAATGAGAATATTTTATTCCCATTTTTATAGATGGAGAAACTGAGGCTCAATAAGATTAAGTGGCTTGCCTACATCATAATAAATTTTACAGATAGATCTGAACTGAGTCCCTTTTGACTCCAAGTCCTGAACTCTATTCATGGAAAATATCTCTGGTATGAGTTCAAGAAACCTTTTCGAACAGAATTGAATTGGTAAGACCAGGCAAGATAGCTTGCTTCACAACACACGTTGATATTTAAGAGGGAAGGATCATGATGGGTACCAGATTCAGGGGAAACTTCTTAAAGGATGCCATGTAGGATGTAACTGAAGTCTTTTTAATTTGTTTTTAACTTTTCGTTTTTTCCAATTAACAAACACTTATTTTTGCTTATTTTCTTTCTCCCACTTCCCAAATTGAAGGAAAGAAAAAAAACTCCCTTATAACAAATATGCACAATCACACAACACAAATTCCCCAATTAGTCCAATAATGTTTGTCTTATTCTGAATCTTCAGTCTGTCACCTCTCTGTCAGGAGATGGGTAGCATATAAGTCCTCTGGAATCATGGTTGATTGCTGAACTTATCAGAGTTCTTAAGACTTTAAAGTTGTTTATCTTTGCAATGTTGTTTTTGTATAAATTATTCTCCTATTTTTGTTAACTTCATTTTGCATCAGTTCATACAAGTCTTACCAGGTTTCTCTGACACCTTCCCTTTCATCATTTGTTACAATATTACATCATATTCTTATACAACAATTTGTTCAATTATTCTTCAATTGATGGGTGTCCCTTTAACTTCCAGTTCCTTTCCACTACAAAAACAGCTGTTACAAATATATCTATACCTATAAATAGGTCTTTTATATCTTTCTTTGATCTCTTTAGGGCATGGACCTAGTAGAGGAATTGACAGGCTAAAAGGTATGCCCAGTTTAGTGATTTATTGGGCAGAGTTCTAAATTGCTTTCTTCCATGTCTATACCAACCAATTCCCAGCTCTACCCACAGTGCATTAATGTATCTGTTGTCCTCTACAATGTGTCATGTTCTTTCTGGTCATCTTTGCCAGTGAGAGGTGCTTTGATTTTTATTTTTCTAATTCTTTGGAGCATTTTTATATGACTACTGATAGATAGAATTTCTTCCTCTGCAGAAAGCCTACTTTATACCTTTTGATCTTTTACCTAAACAGGGTTACCTAGACTTAAATTTTATGTGAAGTCCCCAAAGAGAGTCCTTTGTGGGTTTCCAAGGGAGAGACAAAGATCTGAGTTTCAGTCCATCTTCTTTTCAGAGGTCAAGTGCTAGAAGGCAAGGGGCACTAGCTAAGGGAAAAAACAAACAAACAAAACAACAAAAAATGAAGCCAAATAGTTTTGGATTACAGTGCTCTGAGGGGCCTCCAGAAGGCATTTGGCTTATGCCATCATTGGCACTTTTGTTTGGCCTGAAAAATCCCTGTCTCTGTTTGTCTGCTTTCTCCTCTTATTCTCTCTCTCTCTCTCTCTCTCTCTCTCTCTCTCTCTCTCTCTCTCTCCTCAGTTCCTTTCTGCCTCTGTCTCTCTCTGTCTTTTTATCTCTTGCTATCCCTGTGTCTCTGTGTCTGTGTTTGTCTCTCTCCCTCTTCTTCTGTGTCCTCTGTCAGCCAACAAGGTTGCAAAACGGTGAACTGAGGGTGTCCCCTGGTATTTGGAGTTCTTCCTCCTTTCCTTTAGCATGTGGTTGGCACCACGCCTTCAGAAAGGACTGATCCTAGGTCCAGAAAAGAAACAGTAGGTGGTGGAGTGAGGGCAGAGTTAGGTTGAGAGAGTACGGAGGCTGGAGGAGAAACCCAGGTGTGGAACCCAAGGATTCTGATTCTCCACTGCCCCGAAGGTCACAGAATCTGCGCTGCACTGGTGCATTCTCTCGCTGACATCCCTCAGGCCAACCTGCCCTGTGCCTACACGGGACAAGAGGTCGGACAGCCTCTGCTTGGAGCCCGCTGGAGTTCATCACACCGGGAGTCCCTTTCACTCCATTTTGAAGCGTTATCAGGGTTGGGAAGCTATCTTCTTTATGCCGCACCTGTCTGCAACTTCCGATTTACGAAGGCTCTGGAGATAGAGGACCTGTGTTCAAATCTCTCCTGGGTTGCTCATTATTGTATGACCTAAGAGAAGTTATAGAACTTTCCGGTGCATTTGCAAAAATAAGGGGGCCGTCTCCTGAGGTGTCTTCCAGGACTAAATTTCTGATCCTAGCCTTGCCCTTTAGGACAATATTAAAAAAAATATTCTGCCTGTTGGCTCTGGCCTCTAACCCTCGGCCCTACAAGGGGGAATGTGCCCAGGTCCTAAGCCCCTAGCCTAGCAGCACATTTAGGAAAAAGACACCTTTTTTTTTTTTTTTGCTAGTCCTTTTGCTTTGCTCCTGGGGAGTACTATGTGGGGGAGGGGACGAGAATAGAGGGAGCTGCGAGGCAATAAAACCAATCTGAGCGATTAGCGTCCATTAGGATCGCATTAGC